AATCCCCTTCCCCTCCCCCACTTCTGAAGAAGGGTCTAGGCCCGAAACGTCAGCCTTCCTGCTCCTCTGATGCTGCTTGGCCTGCTGTGTTCATCCGGCTCTACACCTTGTTATCTCAGATTCTCCAGCATCTGCAGTTCCTACTGTCTCTGAAACAATAAATCTTTGCTGGTGGCCATCAGAGATCAAAAAGAAGGGAGTCTATTCAGCCATCCTCACCTGGTCAGAACAGGATTAACTCACAGCCTGCCTCCCAACTGTCTATCCACCATTTACAAGGCACAATTCAGGAGTGTGGCAGAATACTCCCCATTGGCCTTTCAATGATAAATATTATAAAAATGTCTTTTTACTGACAGGGAAACAACTAGCACATTGAAAATTGAGACTTTAGGACCGCTGTTTAAAAATCTGCGCATTATTTTACACTAACAAAGTGCCACTTTGGCGGCACAGTGTCTCACTGGTTGACATTGCTGCCTCACGGTGCCAGGGACCCAGGCTCAATTCCACCCTCGGGTGACTGTCTGTGTGGAGTTTGCACATTCTCCCCGTGTGTGTGTGGGTTTCCTCCCACAGTCCAAAGATGTGCAGGCCAGGTGGATTGGTCATGGGAAGTTGCCCGCAGTGTCCAGGATGTTTAGGTTGGGTGGGTTAGACATGGGAAATGCAGGGGTAGGGGAATGAGTCAGGGTGGGGTGCTCTTCGGAGGGACGGTGTGGACTTGTTGGACCGAATGGCGTGTTTCCACACTGCAGGGCTTCTATGATTCTTGTTCTCACCTCTTACGCAGCATCACAGTAAAGCCATTATCTGGTCAGTAACTCATTTGTGAGACTGCTGGGGGCAAGATGACGGCTGCACTTCCTTTCTATTGCAACAGTGACCATCCTTTGAAAGCACAGAGTTGGCTCTGGAGTGTTTTCAGATGTCATGAGATCATGACGGGTAATGCAATACCTACATTTTAAAATTCTCCATTTTACAAATCCCTCCATGGTCTTGCTGTTTCTAATCTTCAGTGGCATGTTAGTGTCCCTACCTCTGAGCCAGGAGGGCTGAGTTCAAGTCCCAGCTGCTTTAGAAGTGTGTCGTAACATCCCTGAATAGGTTGGTTAGAAAATATCCAAAGCCCTTCATAATCTCTGCACTGGCCTGTTGAACGTCCCTGTTTTTAACTGCATTGCAAGTCTGGGCAGCATCTGTTGTGAGAGAAAGCGTTTTCTTCATTCTGAAACATTTAATTATGCTTTCTCTCTCCACAAATGCTGCCAGACCTGCTGAGTTTCTGCAGCAAATTCTGGTTTTGTTTCCAATTTCCAGTATCTGCGATATTTGGCTTTGATTTATTTGCACCATAATTGCTTGCTCTGACTTTAGCTCTGGAATTCCCTCATTAAACCTCTCCTTCCTCCTTTTAAGGTTACCAGTTAAAAACCTCTTTAACTAGGCTGCTCCCTGTTCTAAATCTTACCTTGTGTTACTCAGTGTCAAATTTGACTTCTTCGCAAAACATTTCATGGCTGCCTTGTTTAATCAAATTAAAGCTGCAAAATACATTGTATGATGGTTTCTATAAATGCCCGTCTTTCTTTCAAATCTTTGGGGTAAGTATTTTATATCTTATCACTTACCTGTCCTGCAACAAAGAAAGAGCAAACTTTCTTTAAATTTTTTTTAAAAGATTTTCAATTTTAATCTGATATATGATACAACAGCATTGTTCTCCATCTCAACATTTCTTTAAAAGACAATATTTTATTAAAACATGCATATACAGGAGTATGATACATAGAAAATGCTCAGCAGTGGGTGGGCCACATTTTAGCAAAGGGCTCTGGAAATGACCAACTGAGAAAAGATATATCAGGATTGAGAATCAAACAGTCCATTACATGATCCCCTTTTATTTTCCCTTTTTAAGCCTCTCAAGCACTTGCCTTATGCTAGGAGGATGAAGGGAGTGAGGGCAACCCTTCCTGATGAAGGGTCGTTACAGTTACTGATGTTGTTCTGTCTTAAACTGACTTGAGATGGAATCAACCTTTGCACCTTTTTCCTGATGAGAATAGGCCTCTCTCAACAGTCACATTGCACCCATGTGTGGGAACTTGTCAAGAACCAATTCTGCTTCCTAATGGACATTAGTGGCAGTGCTGAGGGCCGTGTGGATTAAACTGGGACTGCAACACCCTAAGACTGATGTGAGAAAAGGGGAGCATGCTGGAAATTAGAAGATGCGCCACAATTGCATTTAACTGTACAACGTGGTCAATATTCTCTTTCCAGAATTTGAAATTCCTCATGTAATTTACCTGTGTCTTTGCAGGTCATGATTGGTCTTTGGGTATGGTGCCATATCTACTGAATGCCCTCACCCCTGACATTATTCATCCGTAAACTCTCAGTAAATGTAAGCTTCTCAACAGCCAGGTGGGGGCAGCAGTGTCACTTCACTTGATGCCAGTCGAATAAACAAGTCCAAGGATTGGAACTTCGGTCCAACATGTTCTGTATGTTTCAGCTCAGTGCAGTTACAAGTAGAAATAATGAGGAACTCGGGCTCTTACAGAGGACCCAAAGAGAATGGATCCAAAGCTTGTGATACTGAGGTTTGGAGGGTTACATTGCAGATTGCTTAAACATGGCTTGGATACAGAGAAAGTTTCTCCTCCAGTGAGGAGTCATAACCTTAATATCAAGTGATCAGGCCTGAGTTGAGGAAGCAATATTCCTCCAAATTGGAGCTAAGGCAGATAAAAAGCACAAGGAGTTTTTCTTTTTGCCATGCCCTCACATGGGAATGAGGTACAGATCAGCCATGCTGGAGCAGGCCTGAGGGGGCTGAATGTCCTCCTGTTCCTAAGGCAAGCCATGCACTTTCCATCAAGTTATTGAGGACTACACTTCAATGATGTCCCGTGCCTTTTATTTTCGAAACAGTATCAAATTGGAGTTGGTGCGGAGATGGCAAACTGTCCTGTTGACTGTGTGAGGAGAGGGGAAGGAACCTTCAAACACCAGAGACGTATTAGGATTCTCAGTTACTGTGATTACATACGGGACTGAAATCAAGGGGATGGGTACTTTTGGTGCTGATTTAAAAAGAGCTTGATCCTGGGATGTGGGACAAAATGGTGAGATAGTCCTGGCTGTTAAGTGTTGGAATTACAGGTCTTTCTAAGGGTAAATTAGAACATCTCTAGAATTGATTGAAAGTAGATGATGTGTTCATTGGTCTTTGTATTTAAGAGCTGGGTCCTATGCTCACAATGCTTTTTCGGAGAGGTGGGCACTGTGGGGGAATAGAGTGTTTTATTTCCCCTTTCATTTCCATTTTGATTTAGTCCCTTCCCTCTCTCCTTACCTCCCCATCACTTTTGATAGTGTGCACTACCCATAATGGGCTTTGCTTGTAAATACTTGATTGGCTACGCAGGTGTTTTTTAACTAGCAGTGGTTATTAGTTTAAAATAAACACAAAAAAAAGGTCACGGTGATTTTGGTGGTGGGAAGGTCACTAAGTTATGTGTGATAACACTTCTGGGTATTAGAAAAAGAGCTGGGTCATGCCCTAGTGGGGAGTCAGCTTCTGGATAGGGGCAAAGGTGGAAACTGCTATTTGTGCAAATTTACAATAGAACCTGTGAAAGTGAACATCTTTTGCTGCCTAATTCAATTTATGAACTTAAGTCTGGAAATTCAACATTTGGGACCTCTGCTACTAAATGTGCAATAGTCTAATGAAGTGTTCTCAAAGAGATAACACAGTGTGGAGCTGCAGGAACATAGCAGGCAAGGCAGCATCAGAGGAGCAGGAAAGCTGACATTTTGGGTTGGGACCCTCCTTCAGATTTTCTTTGACACAAAAACAATGCATGGAGTTCTTGTCACTAAGCACTCCTTTTGACAGCGTGCTTCTTGCAAATGAAAGAAAATGTCCCAGTTCCCCAAGTGGTTCAACAGTTTTTAGTGACAATTCCCATTGAGCTCCACTTTACCTTTGTGGTTCCTGCAAACCCCCTTGCCGAGGGCATTGTGGGTCAACCTACAGCACATGGACTGCAGCAGTTCGAGGAGGCAGCTCACCCCCACCTTCTCAAGGGGCAACTAGGGATGGGCAAGAAATGCTGGGTCCAGCCAGTGACGCCCACATCTCATGAATGAGTAGATTTTAAAACAAAACTCAGGAGATTGAGTACACCGTTCAGATTGCAAATTGATAACCCACACTGATCCTCAGATTGGTGGCTGGTCATGTTACATGTGGTTTCAGCAGTGATGCACAAAGGCCAAAAACAATAATCACAGATCTTATTCCTGTTAGGAATTCAGTGATTTCTGTGCATGCATCGGTGCTGGGTGAGAATGCGATTGCCAGTGGTCTCAGTGATTGAATAGCCCACACTCTCAATGCCGCAGATTGCAAATGAATCCTCGAGTTTGATAACAGAGGCATTTCAGCAGCTGTGGAATGGCATGCAACCCACCACAAAGCAGCATTCCCAAAATGAGGAGATCAGGGCCGAAATCAGTGGTAACAGAACCAGGAGCTTTAGCTGATCTCTTTTTAGATATGCAACGTCCTTTTTAAATTTTAATTTAAGCTGTTCAATTTGCATATCCCATGGGTATTTTCTAGGCACTGAAACTTGTCTGAAAAGGGTAAAGAAACTCGAAGCTTATTCTCAAATAGCCACTGATTACCTCACAAAGTGCAAACATTTCACACATTGTATGATACCAGGGATTAAAGCACCCTGATCCCAGATGCTGGTGACTGTAAATTGGTTACATCTAAATCCTTTGACAAAACATGTAACTCAGTTCTTATAAAGGGGAGGAGGTGCTAATGGTGATGTCACTGGAGTAGGAATCCATGGTTCAAGTCCCACCATGGCAGATGGGGAAATTTAAATTCAATAAATATATAGAATTGAAAGTCTAATGATGACTATGTAAGCACTGTAAGTTTGTTATAAAAACCCATCTGGTTCACTAATGTCCTTTAGGGAGGGAACTCTGCCATCCTTACCCTGGTCTGGGCCTATATGTGACTCCAAACCCACAGCCAATGTGGTTGACTCTTAACCATTCACTGAGTCCCAGGCTAATGGTCTCAGATCATGGGTTCAAATCCATTTGGGTCAATTTAAATTCAGCTAATAAATGTGGGAAAGAAAGTTGCTGTCATTAATGGTGACCATGACACCATTGTTGATTGTTGCAAAAACCCTGTCTGGTTCAATCACATCCTTTAGGGAAGGTAATCTGCCATCCTTACCTGGTCTGGGCCTACATGTGACTCCAGACCCACAGCCTGTGTGGTTCACTCTTAATAGCTCTCGTGGGCAATAAATACTGAGTTAGCCGCATCTCATGGAAAAAAAGGGAGAAACTATGAAACACCCTCAGTCCAGTCAAGGGAAGAGATGGATCCCTGATCCCTACCATCAGAATGATTGTAGGCTCATGCTTTTGACCATGCGCCAAGGACTAAAACAGTAACATCAAATTGTACCAGTTCAGATTTGGAGTGTAGCATCTAAACATTAACTACAGGGCCTCAACAATGCTCAAAAACATTCCAACATCTGTTTCTTGTGATTTTAATGTCGTCTTCAAAAACTTCCTATTTGCTGAGTTCCCACTTTCAGCCAGCTACTGTGATATTGGTGCTTTAGTTTTGTTACCTCAGCCAGGAACAAGAACCAATTTGACAGGAGCAACATGGTGAAGGAGCACAGAACCTGCAGGCTTGGTTAGGACAGGAAGGAGACATTCAGGTGAATCAACATGAAATGATCAGACTGCAGAGTAGCAGAAGGCCAAGAGGAAGACTTAGAATCTGGGAAAATAAAAGGTACAGACCACTTCCCTGACAACTAATGCAAAGTGGTGGGTTTAGAGGCACACCATGGAGTGAGGAATGGAACGCAAATGCAAATTTCAAACAAAAGGAAAGGTTTAGGATCTGGGAAAATAAAAAGTACAGCAGCAAGATTAGAAATGTTTACAAATTCAAACCAGAGAGGATCCAAAAAATTGAAAATGGTCTTCATATACAAAGCTTAGACCACAAGGAGAGTCAATAGGTACTTGTCTAACATTGAGAAAAGACAGCCAACCATTTTCACGCAGGCAAGTACTGGATATGATCGGGTGTCTTCACTGGCAAAGTGGATGTCTCCCATTTTGCGCAAGTGTCTTTCATTCTTCTGCTGACGATTTGACATGCAGCTTCATGCTTGGGTCTTTTACCAACCGTACCGTTGGCATCATCTTTCCTTTGCCCCAGTTGCTTGAAGCTGACACAACTGTCTTTGTTTTAAAAGGCTGGGCACGGTTGCCGTGTGTTTTGAGTAAAAGACTTTTCCTGCTCTTGGCGTTTGTCCCTGCTCGTGCCAGAGGCCTCATTTTGATGCCTCAGATATCAATTCCAAAAGCCAAAAGCATTGTGCAATCTGCCAGGGAAATATCAAACTGGGCACAAATCTTCCTGACATGGTGATATCACCGGTGCAGAGTGATGAAGTGAGATGTCAGATGTTTTGTGAATGGATTGAGAGCTCCATTACGACAGTTGATGGTAAAGGCACAGGGCGATTAATGAGATAAAGCATTTTGGTTTAATTCACTTGTTGGACATGGCCGTTGCTTGGAGTGTTGCCAATTGTGACTCAGTTGCTATTTTGAAAATATCGTGAAAGGCTTCTTAGTGATCAGGATGGTCCATTTCAGCATTACAGAATGCAAGTGATTTTCAATCCTTTGACTGAATTGAAATCCCCCAGCAGAACGCCCTTTCAAAATCTCGAGACTTTCCCTGTACAGAAGGACCTTGCCAGAGGTCAGGTGTTCAACAGAGGGACACGCATTGATTCAGAACAACTGAGGACCTCCACACAAGCCATAAGGAAAACTTGTACCCTGGTGACATGACATTGGCAGCACAATACCCTTGATTTTCTGTGATTCGGAGTTGGTTGTTATGTTTAATGAGGGTCCCGGAGCACAATCCTTGGCTGAAGGTGCACAGTCGATGCAATGTGCCAAAGCTCGCCAAACCTTTAGCGAATTGGTTCGTGGGTGAAGAATTAAAAATGGGGAGCTGACCCACAGTGTGTGTGCTCCTGAGCCTAACTTCCTTTAAGCAAACAGAAAAGAAAAACCAAGCAACGACTTTATTGCTTGCTCTCGTCCAGCTTGTCTTGGCTCCTATGCTTGTGACCGGCGGCATCAACCTTCGTAGAATTTCCATCTTGGCTATCCTGTAATGAGGCATGACAACGTTAGGCAGGACCTTTGAGAAACAGAGGAACTGCCTTGTGACTTCTCAGGCCTGTTTACAGCAACCTTACTCTGCCAGTGAACAAATCTAACCCTGGGCACTGCAGAATTCTCTCTGGGCATCAATGGCTGCTGTTCCACAATTCAGTGGCAAGACATAAAGATTTTCTTTCTCTTACCCTTTTGCATTCACTGACGTAATCAATTTCCTTCCAACCCCGCTTCAGGCTCATTCCTTGCTTAGGAATGTTTCCGGCTGGCACTGGGCACTACCCTATACCTCTCCCAACTGATGCCCACTGAATGTGCTGCATAGGGGACATGGAGAAAGGAACCCAGGATGATTTCAAACCCTAGCCCTAGCCTCATGCCAAGCTGGAGCTCTGGATTATAGAAATGAAGAAACATAGGCCCATTAAATCGCACCCTTGGAGCAACAGTACCCAATATTTTCCCACAGTGACCCCATTACAAGGCTTAAAAATTGTCCCGGCCCCTCCACCCAGTGAGAACTGAAACAGCGGTGGTAGCAGAGGCAGGAGAGAGCGTAGACCCAGTAGAAGTGGATTCCTCTGAGCTCACAGACCCTTGGGGGAGGTGGGGGGCATTTGCTGGATGGTGGGGGAGGGGGAGGGAGTCCCAACCTCATCTTTTGGAAAGCACTGCTGTTGAGGCCACTTTAGAAAGTGGAGCTTACCTTCCCCTGACCTGGCAGCTTATTGGTTTCCAGGGTGGCACTGCCAGTCCTGCAGGGTGGGAGAAACAATGTTGGCAGTGAGGTGTTGTAGGCCTTCATCGAGGGAAACTGGTTCCTGTCCATGGACGCAGAAGAATGGGGCCTCATGCCAGCTGAGATGGACAGTGCCGTCCTGGCATCGCGGGGTCTTCCCAAGCTGTTGGATTTGTTTTCCCTTCGTTGATACTCAATCGGAGATTGCAGAGCTGCGAAAACAGAATGAAAGGCTTCACACTGGCTCATCAAACCCTTATCCCATGCAACAACAACTGCATCTGCACAGCGTCCCCAAGGCATTACAGATGAATGTATTGAGACACAATTTGCCTTTGAGCTACAACAGGAAATACTAAGCCAAGACACCAAAACCTTGGCTGAAAAGGTAACGCTTTTTCTTAATTCATTCATGCGTTTATTGCCCAGAGGGCAGTTAAGAGTCAACTACATTGCTGTGGGTCTGGAGTCACATGGAGGCCAGATCAGGTAAGGCTGGCAATTTCCTTCCCTAAAGGATATTAATGAACGAGACGGGATTTTCCAACACTTGATGATGGTTGACGTTAGGCCAACTCTTTATTCCAGACATTATTTTTAACGCTGAATTCTAATTTTACCATCTACCAATGTGGGAGTGGAACCCATTTCCCATGATCACTACACAACCATTTCCCTCAAATGAGTTTTAAGATGCATCTTAAAGAAGGCGAGAAAGGTCAAGAGGCAGACAGGTTTGGGAGGGGATTGCAGTGTTTAGGGCCTTGGCAGCAAGGTTAGAATGATGGAGACCAGTAAAGTAGTAGAGGCTAGAACTGGAGGAGTGCAGGGATCTCAGAGGGTACAAGGCGAGAGGCAGTTACTGAATTAGGGAGGGACATGGTGAAAGAGAAGGAGGGAGATAAAGGGGCAGATCTGGATCTTTCACCACCTGGAAGATTTTCAAGCAGTTAATGGAAGCATGTCAAATTGTAAGCTTAGCCATATGACAATAATTTAATAAGAACAATGAAAGGGAAGATCCTGATCTCTTTGATTTCTTCAGGAAAGCTTTTGACAAAGTTCCATATGAAGGATTTCTAAGAGTGGGCATAATTGGTAGCTGTTTCAGAGAGCTAGGACAGGGCTGATGGGCCAACCAGCTTCCTTCTGTGATGCACGGCCTTAACTGAAGTAAAATGTACAGGCGTTTGGAGTGCAGCATGGAATTGGATTGGACATTGGTTAAAAATAAAACAAGAGGAAGGGGCACTCATTAGAAATGCTTTCAGCTGCTTCAACATGATAAGGTGCATCGATATGTATTATTTCCACACACATTTTGTCAGAAAACAGTCTGTATGCCTTCATGAAAACAGTGTTTTGTTTTATTCATTCATGGGATGTGGGCATTGCTGGTTAAGTTGCCCTTGAGAAGGTTGTGGTGAACCCATGGTTAGACCAATTTGTTGGGTGTCACTGTGTGTAGGGTGTCACCTACTCCTTGTTAGTCAATCTCTGTATGTTCTTCACTTTCATTAGGAATGCACTGTCTCTTAGACCCTGTAATATTATCAGATGCTGATCTCCTCTTGGGGTACAGTCTCACAGGAGCTGGGCAATTTTCAAACTCATTCTCGTCTTTCTTTTCAAATCCCTTTCTGATCGCTGTCATCGCCAGTGGCCCCATGACCCTCTGCGGTATCCGCACTGCTCACATTGCGACCTCCTGCCCATTCCGTTTTCATTTCCCTCCCATCGGCAGTTGTGCCTTCAGCTCTCTCAAGCTCTGGAATTCCTTCCTGAAACCGTGCTCTCTCTCTCTCTTTCTCTCTCTCTCTCTCCTCCTCTCAGACAGTCCTTAAAACCTAACCCTTTAACCAAGTATCTGACCTCAGTGTCACACTTGAGTTTTCTTAATGCTCCTATGAAATGCCTTGGGGTGATTTATTGCATTGTAGGCATATTTAAATATAAATTGATGTTGTTGTTATTGAGATTATCCACTGATGGGTCACATTGCCATTTTCAGAATTCCCAGGATATGAAGATAACATACTTAAGTCTCAGCCTCTTGGCTACAATTCTCCAACTTCCACTTTTTACAGTGCGGCTACGAGACTGGGAGTCTCATTCTCTCTCTTCTTACAAATAGAAGAAATCAGAGTAGGAGTAGGCCATTCAGCCCCTCGAACCTGCCCCCACCATTCAACAAGACCATGGCTGCCCCAGGCCTCGACTTCTCTCAATGATTATGTGTGGACTATCGCAAAGTCAATGCAGTAACAAATCTGATTCATATCCTAGTCCACGTTTGGAAGACTGTATTGAGAAGGTGGGACAATCAACTTATATTTTAAAGTTGGACTTGCACAAAGAGTACTGGCGGCTACCTTTATCCAAAAGAGCGAAGGAAATTTCAGTTTTTGTGACACCAAATGGACTTTACCAGTTTAAAGTCATGCCATTTGGTATGAAGAATGCGCCAGCCACATTTTTTCAGAAAAGATTTACAAGGATTGGAGGGTCTGAGCTATAGGGAGAGGCTGAATAGGCTGGGGTTATTTTCCCTGGAGCGTCAGAGGCTGAGGAGTGTCCTTACAGAGGTTTATAAAATCATGAGGGGCACAGATAGGATAAATAGCCAAGGTCTTTTCCCCAGGGTAGGGGAGTCCAAGATGAGAGGGCATAGGTTTAAGGTGAGAGGGGAAAGATTTAAAAGGGACCTAAGGGGCAACTTTTCACACAGAAGGTGGTGCGTGTAAGGAACGAGCTGCCAGAGGAAGTGGTGGAGGCTGGTACAATTACACCATTTAAAAGGCATCTGGATGGGCACATGAATAGGAAGGGTTTAGAGGGATATGGGCCAAATGCTGGCAAATGGGACTCAATCAGATTAGGATAGTAAGAACTGCTGATGCTGGAGTCAGAGATAACACTGTGGAGCTGGAGGAACACAGCAGGCCAGGCAGCATCAGAGGAGCAGGAAAGCTGACGTTTCGGGTGAGGACCCTTCTTCAGAAATGGGGGAGGGGGAAGGGGGCTCAGAAATCAATAGAGAGAGGAGGGGTAGGGCTGGGGAAGGTAGGTGGGATGGTGATAGGTGAGTGCAGGTAGGCAGTGGTGGGGATTGGTCAGTGAGGTGAGAGGAATGGAGAGGTGGGAGAGAAGATGGACAAGTCAAGGAGGCGTGGATGGGAGGGAGGGTTGGACATGAAATGAGGCTGGGGGGTGGGGAGATTTTAAAACTGGTGAATTCTATGTTCAGGCCATTGGGCTGTAGGCTCCCGAGGCGGAATATGAGGTGCTGCTCCTCCAGTTTGCGGGTGACATCATTGTGACACTGGAGGAGGCCCAGGATGGACATGTCACCCAGGGAGTGGGAGGGGGAGTTAAAATGGTTCGCGACCAGAAGGTGTTGTTGATTATTGCATACAGAGCGCAGATGTTCCACGAAGCGGTCTCCGAGCCTCCGCTTGGTCTCACCGATGTAGAGGGGGCCACATCGGGAACAGCGGATACAATAGACCACATTAGCGGATGTGCAGGTGAACATCTGTCTGATATGGAAAGTTTGTTTTCGACCTTGGATGGGGGTGAGGGGGGAGGTGTAGGGGCAGGTGTAGCACTTCCTGCGGTTGCAGGGAAAGGTGCTGGGGGTGGTGGGGAGTGTGGAGCAGACAAGGGAGTCACGGAGAGAGCAGTCCCTATGGAAGGCAGATTGGGGTGGGGAGGGAAATATATCTTTGGTTGTGGGGTCAGATTGCAGGTGGAAGAAGTGACGGAGAATGATGTGCTGGATGCGGAGGTTGGTGGGGTGGTATGTGAGGACAAGGGGGATTCTGTCTTTATTTTTGTTGGGGGGAGGCAGTTTGAGGGCAGAGGTGCAGGAAACGCAAGAGATGCAGTTGACGGCAGATTAGGATGGCTGGTTGGCATGGACAAGTTGGACCGAAGTGTCTGTTTCTGTGCTGTATGACTCTGATTCTTTCCTGCCAGCTCCTCATAGCCATCAACTCCTGAGCTTTTCAAAAATCTATCTCCCTCCTCTTTAAATACTTTCAGTGATCTAGCCTCCCAAACTCTCTGGGGATAGAGAATTCCAGACATTCCCTATCCTCTGGGAGAAGAAATTCCTTCACATCTCAGTTTTAACTGAGTGTCCCCTTATTCTGTAACTGTGTACCCTAGTTTGAGATTGCCCCCATGGGGAAAATATCCTCTTAACAGCTACCCTTTTACACCCCCTCAGAATCTTGTCTGTTTCAATAAGATCACCGTTCATTTTTCTAAACACTAATGAATAAAGGCCTAACCTGTTTAGCTGTTCTTGATAAGTCAACCCCTCAGCCCAGGAATCGGCCGAGTGAATCTGTTTGGAACTGCCTCCAATGCCAGTCCATCCTTTCTTAAATACATGGACCTGAACTGTACACAGGACTCCAGGTGTGGCTTCACCAACTGTTGTTAACCAGACTTCCCTGTATTTAAACACTAACCTCCCCCCCCCGCCTCGCAATAAACCACAGAATTTCATTTCCTGCCTTATTACTTGCTGCACCTGTTTGTGTTTCATGCCAGCAACACCCAGGTCCCTCTGCACTTTGTTTTGGGCTCTCTCTCTCTTTCTCTCTCTCTCTCTCTCTATTTAAGTAACAGTCTGTCTTTTACTTCTTTTTACCAAAGTGTGTTGCCTCACACTTTCCTACATTAAACTCCATCGGCCAAGTTTATGCTCACTCACCCAACCTATCTAGATTCCCTCGCAGATTCCTCATTGTAACATGCCCTCTCACTGATTTTCAGCAAATTTAGATACATTACACTCTGCCCGCTCCTCCAGTATCGAGAGTAAATACAGGCCCCAGGACTGATCCTTGTGGCATTCCACTAGTTATGCATTTCCAACCTGAAAGAGACCCATTAATCCTGATTTTGTCTTCTGTATGTTAACAAACCCTCAATCCATGCTAATACATCACCCCCATACCGTGAGCTCCCATCTTGTACAGTAGCCTTTCATGTGGCACCTTTATTGAATGCCTTCTGGAAATCCAAATACCCTACATCTACTGGTTCCCCTTTATAGACCCATTGAATTATACAGTATAGAAGAGACCCTTCAGCCCATCAAGTCTGTACTGCGAAAAATATATTACTACCAACACTGGTCCCACTTTCCTGCACTAGGCCCCTTAGCTTTGAATGTTATGACACTTCAGGTTCTCGTCCAAGTACTTTTTAAAGGTTGTGAGGTTTTCCCCCTCAATTACCCTCCCAGGCAGTGCCTCCCAGACCCCCACTACTCTCTACTCAATGTTACCAGCTCAGCTTGTTGAAGAACTCAAGTAAATTCATCAAACATGATTTCCATTACACAAAACCATGTTTACTCCTTCTGATTGCGTTAAGTTTTTCTAAATGTCCTGCTATTTCTTCCTCGATAATGGACACTATAGTTAGCCTAACATCTGTTGTTGGGTAAACGCTAGTTTCCTGCTTTCTGTCTCCGTCACGTTTTGAACAGGGGTGTCACATCAGCGGTTTTCCAATCTGCTGGAAATCTCCCGGAATCTAATGGTTCTGCGATATTTTGACCAATGCCTCCACTGTCTCTGCGGTGTGACCATGGGACGTCCCTTGGAGGGATGTTGATGTTGATGCTTAGCACTGCAGTGCTTTCTGCAGTGTGGCTGACCACAAATCTCTCCCAATTACCATCAAGCGCCTTGGAAAGGTGTGCAGGATGATCATTAGCCTGTTTGACACCTTTTTGTGAGTCCTAACCCTAACCCAACAAGTTCTGAAGCAAGACATGAGCTCAGAGCTTCTCGCTCTGAAATAGGGATGAGACCACTGAACCACAAAACTTTCTGCTTCTGTGCTCCCTCCAGTTTTCCCCTTTTCCTGAGGACAATTGTGCAGCATTCCTGTCATCAGTCTACCACATCCCCAATGTTTCACAGCCAATGAAGTGCTTTTGGAAATGTCGTTCAACATAGCTAATGTGGCAGTCAATTTGTGCACAGCAAGATTGCACAAACAACAATGAGGTGCATAACACCTCATCTGCTTTCTTTGCAATGTTGAGAGAAGGATAAATGTTGGCCATGACACCAGGTTCGACTCTGCTGCACGTCAATGGGATCTTCTCCACCCCCCTGAGAGGGCATGGGGCTTCAGTATCGAGTCTAAAAGGCAGCCAGAAAGAGTGGCGTGAATGGCCATGGTGGTGCCCCTTTGTGAACTCTCCAGGGTGACAACAAAAGTCAGGAATGTGACCTCGTTTGGACCTGTAGCCAGGAACCCAGGTTCACATTCAAACAAACACTGCACTCACCACATGGACTGCAGCAGTTCAAGAAGCTGGTTCACCACCACCTTCTCAAGGGGGCAATCGGGGATGGGCAATAACCTGCTGGTGCAGCCACCGACACCCACATAACTGTGAATGAATAAATGTTTAAAAGACTCCTAGGGACAGCTACATCTCGATATTTTATGCAAAGAGGTTTCTTTCTAATTCAGCAGCAACCGTTTACATTTCACGCACCATTCAAAAAGTTACGTTGCGTTTCCAGGATCTGACTAACGTTTGAAACCCAGGCCTGCCGGATTTCAGGAATAGTGGCTTGTAGGACATATCGCACCACGTTCCCATCTGTCCCACGTGAGGTCAAGGCAAATTTACAAGAGTCGTTGTCCACGGTCTCTTCAAGGCCCAGGCAGCTAACCTGCAGTTCAAAAAATGAGAAAAAATATTTCAGTAAACTACACAATGAGCACTTCTCATCAGCCCTTTTCACACGCTATAAAGTGTGGGGCTAAACCCAGTCTTTTGGGCTGAGAATTGCAACAACAATTACATTTCGATAGTGCCATGAACATAGTTAAATGTTCACTGGAGCATCTACACACAACTTTTTGGAATCAGGCCCCATTTTACACCTGGAAGACTAAAGCTGGTTTAAGAAGCTTGATGAGAGGGAGGGAGGTAGAGGGTGGAGAGGCTCAAGGAGGGAGTTTAATGGTACAGATAGCTGAAGACATAGCCGCTGATGGTGGTGCAATTAAAATTGGTGTAATACTGAAATAACACCTCAGAGGCCAGCATCCCATTGCCAATCACCCTTTATTCACAAATGCACTACCTTTGACAACAGCACTGCCTTTCACTGAATCAGACATTCTGCAACTCAATATCCCTGACATTCCCTTTCTTAGGTCAACCAGGGCTCCCTGATTGGACCAGATTAACAGCCCCAATTGGGGAACTCATATTCTGTGATGTCCAGCTAGCTGACTCATTACAATCACTGCAAACAGAGTTGGAAAAGCGCAAAGATGTTGGAGAGTTGAAGGTGGTTACAAAAATTGTTGACGATAATTGGTGAGGATATTTAAGTCCTTCACTTTGGTGTTTACAAAAATGCAGGTCACTGGGTGCAAGGTAAATTGTAAACTGAATGGAAACATGACAAGGGACGTGAGGATAAATGAGAAGAGTATGACAAAGGGGTTTGTCCAGCTCAATACCTCATCAAGTACATTCAAGGATGCTAAGGGAAATGGCAGAAGCCTGTATTTTAAGGGGCTGTTGAATGAAAGGGAACCTACAGAATTCCATTAGGACTGGACAGGGCAAACACAGGAAGGATACTCCTAATGACCAAGGAGTCCAGACCCAGGGGGGGGTCACAGTTTAAGGATATGGGGTAGGCCATTTAGGACTGAGATGAGGAGAAATGTCTTCACCCAGAGAGGGGGGAGCCTGTGGAATTCTCTGCCACAGAAAGTGGTTGAGGCCAAAACATTGAATGTTTTCAAGAAGGAGTTCGATATAGTTCTAAAGGGATCAAAGGGTATGGGGGAGAAAATGGGAAGAGGGGACTGAGTTAGATGATCAACCGTGATCATATTGAATGGGGGAGCAGGTTCAAAGGGCCGAATGGCATATTCCTGCTCCTATTTTCTATATCGAGGGTCGCTGTGTACTGGAGGATGACCAATACAATCTCCAACTTCGGAACAGAAGCCAAAACAAACCCAAGTAATTACAGGTCACTTAGTTCACATCAAGTAGGGGGAAAAAAAACTGTAATACTTAATTGTAGATAAAACGACTCAAGATCAAGATGCAGGGAAAATAATTAAAAGCAGCCAACTTGGGGTTTCTGCAAGGACGATCATGCTTTACAAAAGGCTAGTTGTTCCAATTTAGGTTCTGTTAGTTATTTATCTACAAACGTCACAGCTCAGAAAGGTTATCTCACAGTGAAACAGAACTATCGTGGTCACTACAGGAGACTGATGATGTGGATAGGTTACATTGATTAGGAGTGTGGTTGCTTGGCTTTGGAATATTGGGTTGATCTCCTTCAGCTATTATAAATGAATAAATGAGTTGATTAGTTTCTCTGTCTTTACCCTTTCCTCTGGTCGGGGCCTAAACCGAGAAGACAGTGCCTTTAAACAAGACAAAAGATGCTTAATATTCAGAAAATGACAAACAAACCATGATAGGAAAAGACAGATCACAGATCAAAGACTAAACAAACTAGGATTGGAAAGAAAAAAAAATCAAAGTACCAAACTAAAGCCTCTGTATCAGCGTTCCCTAACTTTTCTTAGCGGCTGCACAGGCCTCTAAGCCCTCACTCCAGCAGGGAAGTTCATTGAAAAATGAGGTGCTGTGCTTTGAGCTTAATTGGAACAATACAGCAGGTCAAGGACACAGAGGTCAGTGTGAGAGGAAGGTGGCGAATGAAATGTTCTGTAAAATGGTCGCCTAATCTGCAGTTTGATCTCGCCGCTATTGAGCAGCTCACATTGTGAGCAAAAGCTTATTACAATTAGCTATTCCATACAGTTATTACATTCACAGGCACGTCAGTGTTTGGGCTAACATTAAACTATCAGGCTACAAAGAGCCACATGCTTTCAATAGCATGTCATGCTTAAGGGGATCTCAGTTACGATGGAGTCTGAGACCTTCATCCCCCCTCAGGTCACATACTATGATGACATCATAAGCATGTCTCTTCAAGTTGGACTGACATATTTTATCTCTTAAAGGTAATCTGACATACTGACCGGTAGACATAACACGACAGAGCAGCTTGCATCATGAGCAGTGAATATTATGTACTGAGTTGAAAGAAGTGCAAGTAAGTCGCTGTTTCACCTGGAAGGAGTGTTTGCAGCCTCAGTGGCGAGGTAGGATGGGATGAAAGGACTTGGAAAGGCACAGAGGGAAATGGATGGGATTGTTGGAAGTGACTGAGGAATGGACGAAGACATTGCAGAGGGAATGGTCACTCTGAAATGTCAAAGGGGGAGGACGTGATGTATTCACTGGGATTGTCATGCTGGAGGTGGGGGAAATGGCACAGGACAATCCATTATATGTGCATGTGGGTGGGAAGTGAGGACAACAGGGAGCCGATCTTGTTTCTGAGAGAGAGAGGAAGGGGTATGAGCAGAAGTGTGGGAAAAAATGCAGGCACAGCCAAGGAACCTGTCAACCACAATGGCAGGCAATCTTTTTTTGAGGAAAAAGGAAGTTGTATCAGAGGCACTGAAGAATGAGGACACATGCAATGGAGATGGAGAAACTGGGAGAATGGAATAGAGCCATTAATGGATGCAGGGTGTGAGTAAGTGTCGTTGAGGTGGCTATGGGAGTGAGGGAGCATGTAATAAATATCCATTTACAGCCCATTCCCAGAAATGGAGGCTGAGAAGTCGAAGGACAGAAGGAAAGAGTTGGTGATGTGAAGGTCAGGGAAGTGTGGAAATTGGAAACAAAGTTGATTAAATCTTCCTGTTCAGACAGACAGCTGGAAATGGCACCAATGCAGTCAGTAATGAGGAAAGGGAATAGAATTGGAATAAGGAGGGTTCCACATATACCACAAAAAGACAGGCATGATTGGGATCTGGGCAGGTCTCCATAGCAACACCTTTTCTTTGGAGGGAGTGGATTGAGTTAAAAGAAAACCCGTTTGATGAGAGACTGACCCCAGCCAGGTGAAGGAGGGTGTGGGTTGATGGGGCAGGCTGGACACTTACACAGAGAGCCCCTCCTGCCTACCCCCTCGGTGGTGGACTAAGGTGATGAGGGATTCCACTTCTCTCACAGATTCTGTCACCTAGCAACAGAGCACAGCTTAACAGGAATTGTTAAGTAGTTGAGATCCATTTTGTTTTATCTTTTCACAGCTTGTGAATGCAAATTACTCTCTTCCTGCTATGCATTAAACATTGTTCGCTGATCAGGAAGATACCCCAGTTCCTTGTTGCTCAGTCTCTGGTTCATGCCACCATGAAGCTACCACTAGGTGGTGTGCAAGGGCAATATAACACTTTCACCCACCCTACGGCCAGACACACTGTTCTTTATAGATGTCCTGAATTGAAGTGTTTTGAAGGACGTTTCAAAGCTTTTTCAGAAAGCATGAATGACAGACAATAGAGAAAATGTACTTATTTCATGGACATTTTAAAATGGGAAGGATTGGTCATGAAAGATCTTGGCCCAGGGTCATCACAGGGACCCCACAGGGATCCGACACAGTCTATCTGTGTGACCCTCTCCATCACACAGCCAACAATCACCATTGACGTTGACCAACACTCATGCACAGTGCTCTCAAATGGCTGACATGAAGGGACATTCAACAGCAGCCTCTCCATTTCCAATTGTGTTTTGCTCTTATTCGCAACCTGGCTCCCACAACCCAGATCGGGTTACAATGGAAAACCAGTAAAATTTGCCAATAAAGTTCATTAAAAGCTGGAAACATACAACAACTCCAAGTTTAGGTCACTTTCAGATACTGGGTTCAGTATGGTAGGTATTCTTACTAATTTAGTGAATCAATTGTTATTAATAATTATTTCTTTTCACAGATAAATGGGACTATCTGCCTCAGTGCGGCAGTCCCTCAGCACTGACCCTCCGACAGTGGGGCGCTCCCTCAGCACTGACCCTCCGACAGTGCGGCGCTCCCTCAGCACTGACCCTCCGACAGTGCGGCGCTCCCTCAGCACTGACCCTCCGACAGTGAGGCACTCCCTCAGCACTGTCCCTCTGACAGTGAGGCATTCCTTTAGCAGTGGTCTGAAGGGTCAGTCTGAGTTGCACAAGAAAATTCCTGAAGTGGGTCATTGACACAGCATCAGGGTGGTCATGAATAAATTGAGGAGCTGGCGGGACCGAGGTGCACGGCCTGGCTGAGCAATGAAAAACTGTCGACCGGTCTGGCTGGCTCCTGTGTTCAATGGCCTTTGGCAGAAACGGCCTTCGGCGTGAATTGACCGAATCCCTGGAGGTGGTGAGTGCAGCAGTGGAAACAAGTGGGCATTGTGTCCCATGCTGGCACAGAAAAACCCCATGCACACAGCCATTACCTTAATACTGTTCTTGAAGAGATAACCTGGCAGTGAGAAGCCCTTCTTTTTATCCAGTGGCTCACTGAAGATTACTATCTGTTCAAAGAGGAAAACTCGCCGCTCTTTACTGCGTGACAGGAAGCCAGCATCTTGTTCGATGACATGGAAGGTGTCCTGCTGAAGGAGTTTTCCCTGAGCTGTTATTTTGCCCTGGAGGAAGAAGGAAGAGAGGGCAGGTCTACCTCTGGTTAATTCAACATTAAGCGGAAGGAGAAAGGGGGAGGGAATTCAAATTGCCACAAACCTGGATCCAATTCCTTCCAGGGTCATTTTGACTTTGGCCGATTGGATAAAACTATCAGTTGAACATCTTGCCTGAGTTTTAGTTTTTTTGAATTCTTTCAAGGGATGTGGCCCAGCATTTATTGCCCCGTCCCTAGTTGCCCCTTGAGAAGGTGGGGGTGAGCTGCCTTCTTGAACCGCTGCAGTCCACCTGCTGTGTGTTGACCCACGATGCCGTTAGGGAGGGAATTCCAGGATTTTGACCCAGTGACACTGAAGGAACAGTGATATATTTCCAAGTCAGGATGGGGAGGGGCTTGGAACTTGTAGGGGGTGGTGTTCCCATGTATCTGCTGCTCTTGTCGTGGATGGAAGTGGTCCATGGGTTTGGAAGAGGTCAGTCAGGTGTGATGAGTAACAGGCAGTTAATTCAATATCATCCAATATCCTCTCATGCCCAAAGTCCAAGTGAACAGCCATGAATTTAAAGGGCAAATACTAAGAGAGACTTCTGGGTGACAAGTCAGGAATCGCTTTCTCTCAAGTTTCAGAAAACTGGTATCAGTGCGAAGATGGCAACGGTTTCTTTTTTAGGAACAAAAACAAAGTTGCTGGAAAAGCTCAGCAGGTCTGTGGAGGAGAAAACAGGGTTAACATTTCGGGTCCGGTGACCCTTCCTCAGAACTGGTTTCTTTTTTAATTTCCTGACTCTCTTTTTCCCAAAGACACTTTGGGTCTCTAGCTCCTGGGAGAGGTCCTGATTCTATATCCCTTTTTCTTGTGGAAAGATACAAGTAAGAGTTGACACTTTCGGACACAAAAGCACATTGTACTATTGTATGGAACCATGTGTTGAAGCCTGAGCTTTGAGGTTCATTTCATCCCTTGATCTAAGAGTGGATGACCAGAGAGTGCTGACAAATCATTCTCTTGTTAACTAGCTTTGGCCAGTAATATATTGACAGGCACGTCCTGCAATCCCCTCCTAACAAAGAACGGAAGTGAAATCAAGACTTACCTCAAAGCCCTGTAAACGTCCTACGTTCATCATATCGTTACATCGTCGAGGCACAAAGCACATCACCTCCACAGCTTGCTACAAAGGGAAAACATCACACAATCTCAATGTACACACACAGCATTATTTACTCGATGCAGACATTTTCTGCCATTTTATTTTGTTGGGGGGGTGCTTGTTATAGAGTCATGGAAGTCTACAGCACAGTAAAAGGCCCTTCAGTCCATTGGGTCTGCACCCATGGAAAACAAGCACCTAATGATTCCAATCCCATTTCCCAGCACTTGACCCATAACCTTGCGTGTGACTTGCTGATGTTTTGAGTTGCATTGCAATGCTACTGCAGTGTAGTTTGCTCCTGCAATAGTCTTGTACTATTTCATTTCCTGTTTCCTGCATCTAGCTGGGCTGTGTCACAATGGATTGTACACAAGTGGCAATGAATGACAAAGTAAGAGAGATCACAGAATCACATTCAGGGCGACAAACTTTCAACACAAAAGTACGTCGCTTCCATCTGTCAGTCTTGGCTTAGTGGAAACAGTCAACTATCACAGGCTTGTGATGCTCCAAAAACCTGAGCCATTAACAGAGGCAATATTGTATAAGGCTGAGGTTTTGAAGGCTTAATGTTCATGTCATATTGGTTTCTACCCAATCTGCTCGTGTCATACACAGTCTGTGAGTGAAGACAAGGATTTGTATTCTAGTTTTCAGAGGGAGCAGATAGATCTGTACCAATTCCCTAAGGTCCCAGGAATCTTGCCTGATCAAATGTAGTTGTCCTTATTCCAATAAACCTCCTCATTATCTAAGAACAGCCTCTTCTGGAGATACTCCACAGTGGTGTATCCTCTACCCCTAAGCACTAGCCAGGCCCAACACAAAGGAGGGATGGTGGGAGTGAGCCCCCTCAAACACCCCTTACCCAGTACCACACACTGGCAGAGGTGGCAAATCCCACAAGGTGCCAGGAGTGGACATCTGGGGAAATGCCACAGGCAACAGCTCAGTGAATGCTGTTGTCAGAGAATGAGATAATAGCAAGATGGTGCTGTACCAATAATACCATTGGACTAGCAATCGATAGGCCTAATGCCTTAAGGACATGGGTTCAACCCACGCCATGGTAGCTGGTGGAATTTAAATTATCTTTTATTCATTCAATGTCGGAGTCACTGCTTAGGCCTTATATATTGCCCATCCCTGATTGCCGAGAGGACAGTTGAGAGTCACCCACATTATTGTGGGTCTGGAGTCACATGTTGGCCAGACCAGGTAAGGATGGCAATTTCCCTCCCTGAAGAACATTAGTGACCCAGATGGGTCTTTCCTGACAATTGACACTGGATTCATGGTCATTTTTAGACTCTTAATTCCAGATATTTTTATTGGATTCAAATTCCACCATCTGCCATGGCAGGATCCCCGCCTCTTCGACCTGTTTGTTTCCTCTCCACCTATCCTCTCCTCTATCCCTCTTCTATCCGCCTCCCACTCTCTCCCTATTTATTTCAGAACCCCCTTCCCCTCCCCCTTTTCTGATGAAGGGTCTAGGCCCGAAACGTCAGCCTCTCTGCTCCTATGATGCTGCTTGGCCTGCTGTGTTCATCCAGCCCTGCACCTTGTTGTCTTAGCCAGGAACATTAGCTGAGTTTCTGGATTAATAGTCCAGTGAAAATGCCACCAGGCCATCGCCTCCCCTTAATTTAATTAATAAACTCTGGAAGTGAACATCTCTGTAATGGTGACCACAAAACTATCAGTGATTTAAAAAAAAACCCCTGGTTCATTCGTGCCCTTTAGGGAAGGAAATCTGCTGCCCTTAAGAGCTATAAGGAGAAGCTAGAAAAACTCAGCTTGTTTTCTCTAGAGCAGTGGAGGCTTAGGGGAGACTTGATTGAAGTCTATAAAATTATGAGAGGCATAGATAGGGTTGACGGTCAGAATCTTTTCCCAGAGTTGAAATGTCTAAAACTAGGGGGCATGCCTTTAAGGTGAGATGGGGAAAGTTCAAAGAAGATTTTTTACACAGAGAGAGTGGTAGGAGTCTGGAACGCGCTGCCAGGGGTGATGGTGGAAGCAGATACATTAGGGGCCTTTAAGGGACTTTTAGATAAGTACATGAATATGCAAGGAATGGAGGGATATGGACCAGAGGCAGGTAGAAGGGTTTAGTTTAACTTGGCATCATTTGGCATCATGTTCAGCTCAACATTGTGGGCCGAAAGACCATGTTCTATGCAACTGGTCCAGCCTACAAGTGACTCCAGACCCATTGCATTGTGGTTAACTCTTAACCACCCTGTGAAATGTCCTAGAAAACGCCTCAGTTCAAAGGGCAAACAAATGCTCACCTTGCCAGTGGGTGCCTACATCCCACAAAAGATGAAATGATATGATGATATCTGCCTTTCTCAGGTGAAGGTTCCCATTGAGGAGCAAGAGCTTTCTCTCCCAGTGTCCTGGCCAACAATGATCTCTCAAATGACAAGACAAAACAGATGATCTGGTCACAATCTCATTGCTCCTTGTGGGATCTTTTGGGTTGCTGACACTTCAGCAGTGCCTAATTGGATCTGAGGTCATGGAAGGTATAATATAAAATGGAAGTGATCCATTTACCTTTTTCACCTCAATGAGAAAGTTCAAGTCATCGAACTGCGTGAGTTATTAAACTGGGAGGTATTCTGCAGTAAAGAGGGCGTGACAGTGGAGTGTAATGTCAGAGAAAGGATAATACGAGCTAGCAAACATGAGCTAGTTGTTTAAAATAGGATAGGACCGTGGTGCTGTGATCACAACAAGATTGGCCATGACTTTACTGTACGGTGGAGCAGGCTCAAGAAGCCTAGTGGCCTACTCCTAAATCCTATGTTTAGTTCAGCTGGATGCCCAGCATCTTCTTCCTGTAAAGTACTGTAGCATCATTAATTGTTTGAAAAGTCGTTTGCAGATACAACTTATTCGTGGGAGAGCTGCTGCTTGTATGGAGAAAAATGAATTGATATTATTCAATAAATGACAATGGCCCGCAGTTCTCTGCTTCTGTGCTGAATCTCTCGGAAAAACAGTAAAAACAGCAAGAGTCACAACAACAACTTGCAAATATCTACTGCCTTTACCAAAGAAAATCATCCCAGGGCATCTAGAACCAGACAGCATAGTCTCAGAATAAAGGGGCACCAATTTGAGACTGAGATGAGGAGGAATTTCTTTTCTCAGAGAGTTGAGAGTCTTTGGAATTCCTTGCCACAGAGAGCTGTGGGGGCAGAGTCCTTGTGTATATTTAAGGCTGAGATAGACAGATTCTTGATCAGTCAGGGAATCGAGGGGAAGGGCAGGAAAGTGGATGTGAGGCATGTTGAATCAGCCATGATCCTATTTCATGGGGGAGCAGGCTCGAGGGACCGAACAGCCTACTCCTGCACCTATTACTTATGGCCTTATCTCAACAAATGTGATGTGGAACCACAAACAGAGAGTTGACCGAAAGCTTGGTTTTAAAGAAGGAGGAAGAGTGTGAGAGAATTCTAGACCAAAGTGAAGCGATGGAAATCAGGGGATGCTCCGAGGCCAGAATTAGAAGTTATCTCAGTGGGTTGAAATCATAGAATCCCTACAGTACAGATAGAGACTATTTGGCCCATTGAGTCTGCACTAACCCTCTGAAGAGCATTCTATGCTATCCCTGTAATCCCACATGGCTAACTCACCCAGCTTGCACGTCCCTGGACACTATGGGCAATTTAGCATGACCAACCCACCCTAACCTGCACATCACTGGACTGTAGGAGGAAACCCACGCAGACACGGGGCGAATGTGCAAACTCCACACAGACGGTCACCCGAGGCTGGAATCAAACCTGGGTCCTTGGCACTGTGAAGCAGCAGTGCTAGCCACTGAGCCACCGTGCCGCCTGGGTTCTGGGGCTGCTTACAGAAATACAGAGGGACGAGGGCATGAGGGAGTTGAAAACAAGCAGAAGGATTTTATAATCAAAGTGCTGCCATGGTAGCTGGATGGGCACCAGGGGGGGTGATGTGTGATCGGGACTGGGAAGTAGCAGAGCTCGAAAGGAACTGAGATTTACAGAGGGATCAGGATGGAAGGCTGGAGAATGAAAGAACAATAGGGCCAGGAAATATCCCAGTTTGGTGATTGCTGTACCTCTAACAGAGTGGTGTCCTGCTCAGCCTTCTTCGAATACTTCAGGAAATCCTGGGGAGCAAAGAAAGAAAACAGGTAACTCATGGGTTGCAAAATCTGTGCCAGCAAGATAAATACTATCAAACAATGTAGTGATTACTTTCACACGCCAATCAAACAGGCAGAGCAGTCCTGTAATGGGATAGAAGAAATTTTGGTGTGAGCAGCAGCCAACAATGTACCAATGCTTAGTTCAAGATCCCAAATTTCTCTCTAAAGCTAAGAACAGTAACAGGGATTCTGTGCAGATACAGAAAGGCCAATTAAAGAGACCTTGCACTAAATGGCCCAGGCCTGCTCCGATCTACAAAAACAGAATAGCACTGACTGAAGTGAGAAGGGTGGGAGCTGATGGCAAGTGGTAGTGTCCCTGCCTCTTGGCTGGAAGACCCAGATTCAAGTCTGACTGCTCCAAAGGTATATAAAAATGCCTCTAAGTGAGGAGAATGGGCAGTAGCTGGGATGCATGGAAGGGGAACTGGTTCACATAAAAAAAAGCCTCAGCAAAGCCTCAGCAAAACTGAGCTAAGAGAGTGTACCACACACAGCAAGCAACAGGGAACCCAAAGGACTCGTTTCCATTAATGTGGAGCCTATTTGTTGTTTTGGTGATGTTGCATAACTGTGCTGAAGTTGTCAGATCAGCAATGCACTGGGAGAGCCAATTCAATCGCAAGTTTCCAGTTATGGATCAGTTTACATGCAGTGAGGTGTTGGGTAGCCCATACTGGGAAGGGCTGTTGCTCTGGGAGCTAGAAACAGTCCAATAATGGGCCACAGAAATATTATGCATGAGCTAACAGCAGTGTCTGCCTACATTGACAGTGGTGGGGTTTCTCCAGTTTTTACAGTTGCAACTTTGGCAGAAGCCTCTCAGCAAAACCCCAGAGAAACTGGGTAAAGGCTGTTCATGGTGACCACTGTCTAAGACCAGTTGGCAATCTGTCGAACTTATTCATAGGAAAATGCTGCAAGTGCACTTTCAGGGTTAAATTACAGGAGGACACTACACAAAAGGAGGAATTCTCCAGAATTTAGAAAGTTAAGGGGTGATTTGTTCCAAGTTTTCATGATATAAAGGGCTACAGATGGGATTAATGGAGTAAAACTACTTCTGTTTGTTGCGGTGTCTAGGACTAGGGAGCAGAGTCTTAAAGTTAGAACCACTTCTTCACACAATAATGGGCACTTGTACGAAAGTGTACTTGTACATACTTGTACAGCAATGTTAATCTTCGTATCGATTGGATATATCAAATTAGCAAAGGTAATTTTGAGGGTGAGTTTATTTGGGAAGAGTTCCTTAAAACAATATGTTGTGAAACCAACCAGAAATGTGCTACTCTGGTTAAATGCCCTGAAACAGGATTAATAAATGAACTCAGAGTAAAGGATCCTCCAGGGAAGAGGCATCATAATGGGTTAGAATTTCATATTCAGTTTGAGGGTGAGAAACCTGGGTCTGAAACTAGTGTCTTACACTGAAATAAAGGCAATTATAGCAAGATGGAAACACACTTAGCTAAAGTGGAAGAGGGAAATAAAGGGATAAGAGTTGATGAGAGTAAACTAGCAAGAAATATGTAAACAAGCAATAAGCATTTCTACAAGTGTAGAAAAGGTAAAAGAGTAGCTAAAATAATCATTGTTCCCCTTTGGGATTAATAGTAGGGGACACAAAATGCCAGAGATTTTGAACAAATATCTTGTATCTGTCTTCATGGTAGAAGATACTAACACCATCCTAAAACTAACTGAAAATCAGTGAGGAGAGGCAAAGTGAGGAATTTAAATTATCTTTGTCACTTGCAAAAAACCTAATAGCTGACATGTCCCCTGTCCTGATAGTCTTAAAACAAGTGGATGCATTGCATTTAATCTTTGAAAGTTCATGAGATTCAGGAAAGGTCCCAACGGATTGGAAAATTGCCAAAGTTATACTCCTATTCAAGAAAGCAGGGAGACAGAAATCAATTAGTCTAACATCAGTCATTGGGAAAATGCCAGAATCCATTATTAAGGAAGTAATAGCATGTTATTTTGAAAATCATAACATAGTCAGGCAGATCCAACAAGGTTTTGTGAAAGGGAAACCATATTTGATAAACAGAGGCTTTTGAGGATGTGACAATCAGGATAGATAAGGTAGAACCAGTTGGATTGCTAAAAGGCATTCAATAAGGTGCCACATTAAAAAAAAAGTTACTGCACAAGATGAGAGGCCAAGGTACTGGGGCTAATATACTGGTGCAGATAGAGACTGGCTAACTGACCAGAAACAGAGAGTCAGGATAAATGGGACATCTTCAAGTTGATAAGCTACGACTAATGGAGTGCTGTAGGAATTACTGCTGGGGCCATAGCCACTTGCATCCAAATTAACGACTTGGATAATGAGACTGAGTATACAGAAGCCAAATTTGCTAATGATTCAAAGATAGGTAGGAAAGCAAGTTGTGAGGAAGATACAAAGAGTCTGTAAAAGGGTATGGGGAGGTTAAGTGATTGGGCAAAACCTTTGAAAATTGAATATAATGTGGGGATATCTCAGGTTATTGATTTTGATAGGAAGAATGGAAAAGCAAAATATCATTTAACTGGAGAGAGACTGCAGAATGCTGTGATTCAGAGGGATCAAGGTATCTTAACACATTAAAAAAATGTCAGCATGCAAGTACAGCAAGTGATTGAGAAGATAAACGGAATGCTGTCTTTTGTTGTAATCGGGTTGGAATATATAAGTAAGGAAATGGTACTGCAAATGCACAGGACATTGGTGAGGCCGCACCTACTGCATATAGTTGCGGTCTCCTAGTTTGGAGAAGATGTAGACTTGCATTGGGGGCAGTTCAGAGTAGGCTCTGTTGACCAATTCTTGGGATGAAGGCCTTTGTTTTATGAGGAATGGTTGAGCAGATTGGGCTGATACTCATGGGAGTTTCAAAGAATGAGAGGGGATCCTATTGAAACATATAAGATTCTGGGGGTTTGGGGGGGTGGAGGTTAGATGGGGTAGATGCTGAGAAGATGCCTCTCCTCATAGCAAAACCAAGAACTGAGGGGAATAAGGAGTTGCCCGTTTTCTACTGCGAACTTGTGTTGGAGGCAGGATGAACTGGAAGGATAATACTGATAAGCTGAGATGAATGAGAAGAGGGGACACTCGTAGAACCAGATAGACCAGAATGGCCTAAGGCTTGCTTCAGTATGGTACATTTGAAGATGCCTCAGTAAAAGCGCAACAAAATGGTATTTCGTTTTACATCACTTCTTCCATTCAAATACAGTAACACTTCACTGTTCCATGACAGAAAAAGAACATTTTCGAATCTGGACTTATGAAAGTTCAGAAGACATCCCTTATCTCAAAGGCACAAATGAATGACATTTTCTTTCACATTGCAAAAAGTAAAAATGTCTACAAATTGACATAAAATGGCTCTCAAAGCACATGACCGAACACGTACACATTCCTCACTTGCTGGAGTTGGGTTGTCAACTGTGTGTGCACATCTTTCTGGAGATTTTGTCACATGACCTCTTGCCTTTCAATCATCCCACCCAGTCAAAAAGCCTCCCCACCCGTCATCAGCCCCTCTCAAATACTGGTCTCAGTAATGAACAAGTGTTCAAGGAGAGTAAAACACACACTCTCTCACTCACACACACGTTTTGTGACACTTGACCTCCTGTGTTGTTCACAGTTGCATCCAGGAGATTAATACTTAATTCCTGGAGACTCCAGGATAGTTGTGGAGCTGAAGGTGTTCATACAAGATGATCAATTGAGCTTGGAGCAGAGTTTCTAACACAGGCCGAAAAGTTTTATTTGCCACAAGAAGCAGTGGGGTTTGCCTTTAAGGGGCCGAAGGAGAATGCAGGGCCCTCTGGGTCATTCTGCGAAGCCAATCAGCAATGGAAACCACATGAGCCGCGCGCGCTGCGTGACACCTTTGGGGAAAGTGTCACTGTTTTCAGCTCGTTAACATTTCCGCAAACAGCCCAGTGGCGTTACTGCAGCTACATGCTCAATTGTGCGCCCGCTTTAGCGCATTCAAACTCCCGAGTTCCAAACAGTAAAATTGCGCGGTGCAGAATGCCAGTCGCAACTCACAAGAAATCAGAAGCAGCCCACTGTTTGCCCGGATTTAGCGATCTGGGCAGCCCCTGGGCACAGCAACCAGTGCCTCCCTGCTTTAGTAGATGAGGAAAATCGTGGCAGGGTTGTCTTGCAGGGGTGGCACTTCTAGTAGCTGGCAAACATGGGCACTGGCAGAGCAAAACCACAGAGTTAATTCAGGCAGATGTAAGGTTAAATGAGAATAGAATTAATTAAAACTGCTGTAAACCACACACAACTCTAAATGCATTCTGACCACTAATTATCCTCAGTATCACATCTTTGTTGTTGGGGTCAATGGATTCGCTAGTTTGGGTAGGTCAATAGTGGTAAAAGGCATTTGGACAAAATAAACAGATCAGGTAAGGAATGTAAGAAGGACTTTAATGTAAACCATGACAAACATCCCCTCGCAAAGCATTGTTTATTTGTCAGTAGGTCCAGGCATGAACAGACTGCTCCCCACCTTCAACAGAAGCTGGTACTTCATGATTCTCTGAACGGGTTTGATAAGTAAATCATTCAGCTGAAGCCTGTGGCCTAGTTGTTGCTTCAGCTCCTGAAAAAACAAGGACAAAACATTACTTTGGCAGGCCGATCGGCCTTAGGTCTCCCCCAAAATTACCCACACAATGGCTCACCACATTCTCTGAATGAAACTGCTGACTCTTAGTCCTTTCCACATGTATTTCACACTCAGATTGGTGTTGTGTGTCAATTCAAAGAGTGATAGCTAGTCACCCATTAACTAAAGATCCCCTCGATCTACTCTGCTTTACGTTTAAACCCATTTCCCATATCAGTCCACCTTATAGCCTGGAACAAAAACAAAGTTGCAGGAAAAGCTCAGCAGGTTTGGCAGCATCTGTGAAGGAGAAAACAGAGTTAACGTTTCAGGTCCGGTGACCCTTCCTCAGAACTGATGGTAGCTGGGAAAACGTCAGTTTATATGCAGAAAATAGGGAGGTGGGTGGGGTAGGGAGTAAACGATAGGATAGAGCCCAAAGAGAGAGAAAGACAGTTGGACAGACAAAGGAGTTGCTAACGATCAGGCTGGGAGGGTGAATAGTTGTTAATGGGGACTGTTAGTGACTAACAACAGGGGGTGTGTAATGGCAGGCTATGTGGTAACAAGGCCTGGTGTGTGGGGTGGAGGGCTGGGACATGGGAGAGTCTAGGCCCTAAAATTATTGAACTCAATACTGAGTCCGGAGGGCTGTAGGGTCCCCAAGCAGAAAATGAGGTGTTGTTCCTCCAGCTTGCGTTGGGCTTCACTGGAACACTGCAGCAAGCCAGAGACAGAGTTGTTGGCCAGGGAGCAGGGTAGTGCATTGAAGTGGCAGGCAACAGGTAGTTCAGGGTCTTTTTTGTGAGCAGAACGTAGATGTTCTGCGAAGCAGTCGTCAAGTCTACGCTTCGTTTCCCCATTTTTATAACCTGTGAGGGTTAATTTTGAACCAATTGCTGTCGGATTAATTGCTCCAGGCTTGCACCAATATTTCTGTCAAATCTTTACAATTAGCAGTGAGAATGGAGCCTGCGATGGACATAGAGCCATCCTTGCAAAGATGAAAAGGTGACAAGCAAACCACCATTCCATCTAGTCTCCCTATTTATGAAGAGATTCTCTAGGGCATGTTACTGTCAAACTTAATCCAAGCACTCTGTGTGCAACATCAAACCAAAATGAAAGGGCACTCACTTCAAAGTAGGTATCGATGTACTCGGAGACGATATGCTCTGATTTAGGTTTATTCTGGCAATAAACCACGTACATGTGTAACCGTCTTTCCTGGAAAATAATACATGTTCATTCTACTTGGGAATTAACAACAGACAAGAACACACCACACAGGCCCCACACGTCCTCTTATAACATACACCGAATATCTTCACTCCTGTCTTTGTCCCTTTAATGCTCTTTCTCTGGCCATTAAGCTTGCATTTGTATCAAAGCGCACACTGTCGGACGAGCTAATGGCAGCGTAACCGTAATGAGCTGTACGAACCGCTTCGCCAAACTTATGCCAAAGCCCCACGGCATCATGAGTGGCAACTGGCTATGGAATATCACTGCTGACTGTGCCACTGCCACCCAACATCCACCATTCAACGGGGGAATGGAGAGAAGCAGTTTGGAGAGTTTGAAGCTGATGTCCTTTGATCACAAGCTGCTGGAGTGTTTCCCCCCTCAGGATCGACTGATGGTATAGCAGGCCCAGCAGCCTGTGACGAATGCGGGAGGCAGGCACTTATTGCGCCACAACAGAGGGCACAAAAGACATTCTGGCTCAAGGAAATTGTTTTTAAATAAAGCAGAGATGAGGGGGCAAAAGAATGGCAGGATTTCCCGCACTTTGTGATGACTACGAAAGATAAACACCCACGAAAACAATCCTTCACCCAAGACTGATGAGTCATTGATATCTGTGGTCCCTTGACCTTGGGAATCCACGAGCTGTGAATGGAACAAAGATGGGCTTTGTTTTAATATTTTTATTAATATTGGTCTTAGAGTATGGTGACTTAAACACTTTTCACTGTACTTGTTTGTAAAAATACAAGTGCACAGACTGGAAGACGAAAGCTTTGAGATTGTCAATGCTTAATGCCTCTTTGCTGTAGGCTATTTTCAGGGAGATGTCAATTGATTTATTTTAAATGGGTTCAATTAAAGGAACTGTATCAAGGTGGATGAAGCTATTGTCCCTGACTCCACATACAGGCTAACTGCAAGATGTTTAATGTTTATGCTGCATAGGAATAACAGGGGCTCAGAGATGCCATTTGTCCCCTTGAATCTGTTCCTCTGCTCAGTGGGATCATAGCCAGTCTATCTGAATGACATACCTTCACATAAGTGTCCTACCTGATATCTGCCAAAGAGGAAGTGCAATGAAGGGTCAGCAGTCTGACCCCTGGGATGGCCAGCAAGACCTATGAGGAGACAGCAAGGTGTATTCTCTAGGGCTCAGTCACATCATCTCATTGACACTCCCAAAATTCTGACAGGGCTTGACAGAGTCGATGCAGTCCTCCTCTGCCCCCCTGCCCCCCCACCCATTCAGCTGTGGAGAGTCTAGAACCAGGGGACATAGTCTCAGAATAAATGGCAGGCCTTTTCTGCATGAGATAAGGAGAAATTTCATCACCCAGAGGGTGGTGAATCTTTGGAACTCTCCACCACAGAAGGCTGTGGAAGCTCAATCATTGAGTATGTTCAAGACAGAGATCAACAGAGTAAAGGTATCAAGAGATAGTGCAAGCAAATAGAGTTGAGATAAGAAAATCAGCCATGGTCCAGTTGAATGGTGGAGCTGGCTTATACAGTCATACAGCATGGAAACAGACCCTTTGATCCAACCATAATGCCAACCCCAATCCCAAACTGAACTAGTCCCATCTGCATGTGCTTGGCCCATATTCCTCCAAACCCTTCTTATTCATGTACTTATCCAAATGTCTTTTAAGCATTGTAACTGTACCCACATCCACCACTTCCTCTGGCAGTTCATTCCACACATAAACCACTCTCTGTGTAAAAGAATTGCTCCTCATGTCTTTTCTAAATCTTTCACCTCTCACCTTAAAAACATGCCCTTGAAATCTCTCACCCTCGGGGAAAGACACCTACCATTCACCTTATCTATACCCCTCATTATTTTATAAACTTCAATAAGGTCACCCCTCAACTTCCTACGGTCCAGTGAAAAATGTCCCAGTCTATCCAGCCTCTCCCCTTAACTTAAACCCTCCATTCCTGGCAACATCATGATAAGTCACTTCTGAGACTTCTCCAGCTTAATAATATCCTTCCTATAACAGGGCGACCAGAACTGGACACAGTATTCCAGAAGAGGCCTCACCAACATCCTGTACAACCTCAACATGATGTTCCCAACTCCTATACTCAAAGGTCCGAGCAATGAAGGCAAGCGTGCTAAACATCTTCTTAACCACCCTGTCTATATGTGACACAAATTTCAAAGAATTGTGTACCTGAACCGCTGGGTCTCTCTGTTGTACAACACTACCCAAGGCCGTACATTTAACTGTATAAGTCCTGCCCTTGTTTGTTTCACCAAAATGCAATACCTTGCATTTATCTAAATTAAACTCCATTTGCCACTCTTCAGCCCGTTGACCGAACTGATCAAGATCTCTCGGTAATCTGAAATAACCTTCTTCACTGTCCACTATGCCACCAATTTTGGTGTCATCTGCAAACTTACCAACCGTGCCTTCTATATTCTCATTCAAATTATATAACTAACAAACAACAGTGAACCTAGCACCGATCCCTGTGAAACACTACTGGTCACAGACCTCCAATCCAAAAAACAACCCTCCATCATCACTCTCTCTCTTTTGCCATTAAGCCAATTTTGTATCCAATTGGCAAGCTCACCCTGAATCCCATGTGATCTAACTTTACTATTTAATCTACCATGCAGAACCTTGTCGAAGGTTTCACTAAAATCCAAGTAAATAATGTCTACTGTTCTGTCATCATCAATCTTCTTGGTTACTTCCCCAAAACAAACTCAATCAAGTTTGTGAGACACGATTTCCCTCTCACAAAACCATGCTGACAATCTCTAATTATTCCTTGCCTCTCCAAATGGATATAAATCCTATCTTTCAGAATCACATCCAACAACTTACCCACCACCAAAGTCAGACTCACACGTCTATAGTTCCCAGGCTTCTCCTTACATCCCTTCTTAAACAAAGGCACAACATTAGCCACTCTCCAGTCATCTGGCACCTCACCTGTAGTCATAGATGATACAAATATTTTTGCCAGGCTCAGTGGGCTGAATGGCCTACTCCTTTACACTACTGTAATTCGACGTAAACAGTACGATGGCCTCAAATGGTACACAGAATCATCATAGAGTCCCTACAATATGGAAGCAAGCCATTTGGCCCATCGAGTCCACACTCACCCTCCGAAGAATATCCCAGCCAGATCCAACCCCCTACCATATCCCTGTAACCCTGCATTTCCCATGGCTTATCTACCTGGCCTGCAAATGCCTGAACACTACGGGCAATTTAGCATGGCCAATCCACCTAACTTGCACATCTTTGGACTGTGGGAGGAAACTGGAGCATCTGGAGCAAACCCACACAGACACGGGGAGAATGTGCTAACCCCACACAGACAGTTGCCCGAGGGGGGACTTGAACCCGGGTCCCTGGCGCTGTGAGGCAGTTGATAGTGGTTTATTAATTTACAGTAGCTATGGAGTGTGAGGTGCTGATGCTGGAAGTCCCAGTCCCAGCTGTTGACTCTACGACAACATTCTTGGCTGCTGAAAACACATCATCCCCTGGTCAGAGACAGACCTGCAGTACCGCTCACACAGATCTCTGAAGGAGGACAGGGCAGTCTCACTGGAAATAATGCCCTACCCTTGGCTGAAATTCAGCACTCCAGCGATGGCAACTGTTTCCCATTCGGTACTCTTGGGACCATCTTTCAAATGTACAAGCATGAAGTTGTGTCACAACGCATGTGTTACCATGGCAATTCAGGGTAGGGGCAGAAGCATTTGAAGTTGATTCATAGACTCATGGAGCTGTACAGCACGGAAACAGACCCTTCGGTCCAATTCATCCGTGCCGACCAGATATCCTAAATTAATCTAGCCCCATTTGCCAGCATTTATCCCACGTCCCTCTAAACCCTTCCTACTCATGTACCCATCTAGATGTCTTTTAAATGTTCTAACTATACCAGCCTCCACCACTTCCTCTGGCAGCTCATTCCATACACTCACCACCCTCTGTGTGAAAAGGTTGTCCCCTCAGGTCCCTTGTAAATCTGTCCTCTCTCACCTTAAATTATGCCCTTACTTTTAGACTCCCTTACCCTGGAGAAAAGACCTCGACTATTCACCCTACCCATGTCCCTCATGATTTTATAAACCTCTGTAAGGTCAGCCCTCAGCTTCCGACACTCCAGGGAAAATAGCCCCAGCTTATTCAGCCTCTTCCTGTAGCTCAAACCCTCTAGTCTCAGTGCTGGAATTCCTTCACTACACCTCTCTACCACTCTGCTCTCTCTATAAGGTCCCCCTCAGCTTCCGACACTCCAGGGAAAATAGCCCCAGCTTATTCAGCCCATCCCTATAGCTCAAACCCTCCAACCCTGGCAACATCCTTGTAAATCTTTTCTGAACCCTTTCAAGTTTCACAACATCCTTCCTATAGCAAGGAGACCAGAACTGAATGCAATATTCCAAAAGTGGTCTAAACAATGACATGTAGAGCCGCAACATGACCTCCCAAATCCCACACTCCGGGCTAGATGGGAAGCACAATGGAAGAGGGTCACACATCCACATGACACATTCAGTCAAGTTCGCCATCACACACCCCCGCCCCGAACAACAGTAATTGACCTAAGGGTGCAGGAAGGAGATGCTATTGAGCACAGGTCAGTGGGAAGCCTATAGGTCAAGTTCCCCACCTGTACACCCAGTCCTTTCTTTTGGATGAAATGGTTCTAACCAGGGGCACCGACCACACTGTGAAGTTATGCACTTGCCCATAACCAATCATGCTCCCAAACTCTGCCCCATTTTGCCACGTATGATCTAGTGGGCAACGTCCAAATTAGTTCATTTTCAATGATGGCACTTGCGAATAACGACTGTAGTCAAATTAGATATAATCAAAATTCCAAACTGACATTGCAAATACCAAAGTCATAGAAAAGTGAAAAAAATCAAAGCTCGCCTTTCGTTTAGATGGTAACCCCTCATTCTTCCCAGTCAGTCATGATGTTAACTCTCCAGGGGTTCAGTTCGTACCTGGGTTGTCAAATCCGACTCAGTTGCTAGGGCCGTGCTAGCCATTTGAGCTGTGCTAATGTACTTAAACCCCTCGCCCTGCACAAATATGTCCAGTTTCCTATGGGGGCAGCACATTATCAGGCAAAAGAAAGCCATCTCTATTGATCAGTATGTCCCAAAGATAGAGCCCTGGTTCTGTTTGACATCTTCACCCACCAATAACCTATGCTTCCAAAATTTTATCAACTCTTTAATGT